TTTTGCTTATTTCTCCCCATCAAACCTGCACGAGGAGAATTCATCTGAGAAATTTTTGCTCAAAAAAAAAATCTATTTCTCTCACTTCTTTTAATTTGTTCATAGGCTAAACACAATTTTCAAGTGCAAAGTGTCAACACAGGGCCTGAAATCAATGGAGTATTGAACAAGCGAGGGTTCATAGGATTTTCAACTGCAAAGTGTTAACACAGGGGAAGAATTATTAAACAAGTGAGAACTATAATGTATGTAGGTCCAGATTAACATCCCCTTACACCCATCGATTTAATCTTAAGAGTAAAAGAGTGAAGGATTTTTTGCCTTATATTTGTGTGTTATAGTGGGATTCTTCTTCAGGATGATGGATCTTTTGGTCCATCTCTCCCTGGAAGAAACAGGCCTGCAGAGCCTATTCATCAGATAAGGGAAAGAACCCCACAACCTTTGAGCAGCTCTCTGCTCTGCAAAGGAAGAAGGTTTTTGTCTCAGTTCCTCATTAAGTTGTCTCACAGTGGAACCCTCCACCATTGCTATTCCACATGTGACAGTAATAAATGGCCTCGTCTTCAGCCTGAAGGTTGGTGATGGTTAAGTAGCCATTGTTGCCTGATCGGGTTCCTGTGAATCGGTCTGGGATCCCTGGTCCCCTGCTGCTGCAGCCATCACAATGCACAAAGCAAGGGGCTTCCCCAGATCTCTGTTGAATCCAACGAATGGTAGTTGGATTGCTGCTGATGGCACAGGAGAGTTTAATGGTCCCTCCTGAAGATCCAGACTGGGAGGCAGGCTGAGTCAGGATGGGCTGTGAAGTGACACCTTTACAAAATGGGGGAAAAAGAGGAGACAAGAGTTTGTTCCATTATGTGGGTCTCCAAAAATCCCAGAAGAATTTTTTTGATGGACCAGATTGGGTTTTAAATTTTGCAAACCAGTTGGACAGTTTAAGAAGTGGTCCTCCACATACTTACATGAGAAATAACTAAGAATGAAAAGGAAAATCAGTGTCCGGGCCGTCATGATTTCCTTCAAAAGGTCTCCTTTCCTAAAACCAAGGAATATCTATCTGGGATCCTTCTGTCTTCTTACTTAAGTCCTCCTAGAATGGAAGGAAGATCCATGCAAATATAAATGCAATGATTGGCTTTCTTTGAATTGATTTTGACCAACGAGCGGGGGAGATATTTGCATAAAGGGAAGGGTTAAGAAGATGTCTTTATGTAGTTTTTAAGTCATAACATAGGAAATTTAGGAGAAAGGCATTCAGAAAGGATGAAGTCAGTATTGAACAAGCGAGCACTATAATGTATGAAAGTCCATCTTAACATTTCTTTACATTCATCATTTTCATCTTGAGGCTGTAAGTGTGAGCAACATTTTTTCTTGTTTTTCTGTGTTATAGTGGGATTCTTCTTCTGGAAGATGGATCTTTGGGTCCATCTATGCCTGGAAGAAACAGGCTGCAGAGCCTTTTCATCAGATAAAGGAAAGACCCCCCCCCAACCTTTGAGCAACTCTTTGCTCTGTGAAGGAAGAGGTTTTTGTCTCAGTTCAGTCTTTCTGTTGCCAATTACATTCAACACAATGTTCCCTAGAGGACAGGAGTTTCCCTTTGATTATCTCCAGCATGTCCCCTCTGAAGTTCGCCAAGAAGAAGGTCTGAGTTTTGATGATTTCCTGGATGCTAAATTCATGGGATGAAGTTCTATTCCTCTATTAACAGAATGTCATGTGCAAATCAAAAAGTCCTGCAGATCTTGGGTGAAACCTCCATCTCCTAACACATTTCAGCCCAACTGACTTCACCGAAGGAGGATAAATTCTTTAAAATGACCTGATTCATTGCAAATGTTTAGGAATGTATGGCAAAGTGCAACAACATGTGAATCTCCCTCACCAGAGTATCTGGACATGAAAAACTCCTCCGATATCAAAAATATGACACAGATTTATTAACGCAGCATGTCATGTGCAAACCAAAAAATACTGCAAGACTTTATGATGGATCCTGGGTGAAACCTCCATCTCCTAACACATTTCAGCCCAACTGACTTCACCGAAGGAGGATAAATTCTTTAAAAGAACCTGATTCATTGCAAATGTTTAGGAATGTATGGCAAAGTGCAACAACATGTGAATCTCCCTCAACAGAGTATCTGGACATGAAAAACTCCTCCGATATCAAAAATATGACACAGATTTATTAACGCAGCATGTCATGTGCAAACCAAAAAATACTGCAAGACTTTATGATGGATGCTGGGTGAAACCTCCCTCTCCTAACATATTTCAGCCCAGTAGACTTCAGAGAAGAAGGATAAATTGTGTAAAAGAACCTGATTCATTGCAAATGTATGGCAAAGTGCAACAACATGTGAATCTCCTTCAAAAGAGTATCTGGACATGAAAAACTCCTCCGATATCAAAAATATGACACAGATTTATTAACGC